GGGAGATTTGGGGGGAGGGAGCCCAAATTTCAAGCCCTCATGAAGGGCTTGAAAAAAAAATGGGCTCCCCCCCCCTCCCTCCCCCCCTCCATGAGGTTGAGTATGCTGCTCGCAGGCGAGGAGGATCCCCTCCCGGCTGTCCCGGTGGCCGTGCAGAGCGAGTGGTTTGCGGCCCAACAGGCCTTCGAGACGGTGGATGTTGATATGGGTCTGTCTTTTTTCAGTGAACCCATTTTGGTGGGTCTTTAATGCGAAACCAAAAGGAAAACGGTGACTCCGGGGGTCCCCTAAAAAAAGACCCGTATGTTTTTGTTTTTTTCAGGGATGCCCCCATGGCCTACAAACTAACACGCAAATGCGCACAGCCATCTTTTTTTGCCAAGAGGAGTCTGCAGGCTTTCTACAGGAGTCGTGCACTTCCCTTGGTCGCTTCGGGACTGGGAATCCGGAAATCTCACTGTGGTTTTGGGTCGCGTCGCCCGGTCGGATCCGAGAGGTGGAGTTCCACAACATCGGCTCCGACGACGAGCCATTGGACTGGGAGCGCAACCTCTCGCCTTGGCCTGTGCAAAGGGTTTGGAATGGGGCCATGGAATGGGTGGCTGGGTGGGTGTGTATGTGTTGATGTGTGTGTGTGTGTGTTTTTCTTTTTTTCTTTTTTTTTTTGGGGGGGGGGGGCAAAGGCATGCATGCTGTCACCCCTATGAGGATTCCGAAAACAAATAAGAATTGGATTGGTTCGAGGATGTCACCTTTCAAACCACTTTCAAGGTGGCACATGACACAGATTCTCAAATCAAAACATAGTCCTGGTTGCCTTTCTGGCTTGAGTCGAAGCTTTTCCGGTGTGTCTCTGAGCATGTTTTCTTGGTCGAATCGGGCAAATGACAGTCTTTCAAGGCAGCTCTCTCAGCGGAACCCACTGAAGTCCTGAGCACAAAAGCACCGTTTCAACCTTTTGGACAATGACAGCGTCTTCACATGGGGCTCAAAATTAAATAGCCAGGGTTACGCAGGAATCAGTTGTTGGTTCCATTTGCCAAGGTGCCATTTTGGTACATGTTTTTGACTCACAGCCACATGTGTCTTTTTTAGAGGCCCCCCAAACATTGACGGTTTTCTAATTTGTTGTCCCTTTGGAAAGGGTAAATACCCCAAACGACTTACATTGGCAAAGAGCGTGCCCCCCTTTTTCCATCCCCCCCACTTTTCGAGGCATGATGTCAACCCCTGACTAAAACCGACATCAGATGTTTACTACGTCAACTAGAAGAACGTGTGGCCCGAACGCATAGCCTAGTAGACTGAGCGAAGCATGTTCTCTGCATAACGAGTTTCTCTCCGCAAGACCTCCGTCCAAGCTTCGCTGCGCAAGCTCGTCCACCCAAGTCCTTGGTGCAAGTTTCTCTGCGCAAGGTTGTCTACCCAAGTTCTCAACAAATGTTTCTCTGGCGCAAGTCCTCTGAGACTGGATAAGCTCTCAGCGCACGTGTCTCTGCGCTTTGCAAGTTGTTTGCCCGTGTCGTTCTCTATGCAAGTACCGCCAAGAGATGCAAAGCGCACAGGTTTTTGGCAGATCGACCGCGCCGATCCACTCAGGGGGTCGCGTGGGAATCGCCGAAAGTTGCATACACTTTGAGATTTTGACGCTCCACCACGCCGATCCACGCAGAGTAGCAGAGGGTCACGGGCGCAAATCAAAACGTGGCCAAAAAACATCACCACGAGAATTTGGAGCACAAGGTAGCGGTTTCAGTGAAGTTCCGACGCTAAGGCCGGAATCCGTGCACGGTCAGGAGGAGGAGAGATGGGCTGGGGAAGCGGTGCCATTGATACATCAATATATATATATATATATTTTATTTGTTTACGCTCCACGTGCATATAGCAAATGTTTGTGCGTGCGTAGGTAATGTGTATATGGTACCCATTGCCTATTCGTACAGGCCCTAGTGTATGTGAGTAAAAGTACATAGCCGTCATAGGCCTTGTTCATTTCCAGCCCACCTTGTGAACAGGTGTGAACAACAACAAGCCTTTTGGAGTCAGTTACACAGGTATGCAAAAGGGGTATGCGCAAAGTCGCCTAGATCTTCAAGAGCGCAAGACTTTTGCAAATGGACAGTTCCAGGTTCACCGTGGCTGGTTTGAAGAATCTCTCTTGCGAAAGACCAGAGGTTTGTACGCGTGAAGCTGAAAAATGCACACGCCTGCGGCTCGTTGGGCATCGCTTGGTAGAACCTCAGTGCAGTAGGGAATCAACCCCAGTGTGGCCAGCAGAAGCGACAGACCCCAGAAGCTTCGGCTCGGGCGTCCACGCCGCCAAAAACATATTGGCCCCGGTGGCACCAGCAACCCTTGCGGAACCCTACATGACCCTAAGCTTTCTGAGACGAGATGACTTTGACAGTTCCACTCACCTACACAACTTACCATGGAACCCAAAATGGGGGTCCCCCAAAGGAGATTCTTCTAAACATGATGGCTTTTAGGGTTCCATGCTAATATGCAAACGTGTAACCCTCTGATTGTTTTGTCCAAATGTTCAACCCACTTGGGTGTCTGCATCCTTTCCTTTCCATTAAGGTTTTCCGCTGCTTCCCCCTAAATACGTCTCACTCCTGCCCTGCCCCTTCCCATCCCTGCCCACTCTGTTCCATCTTCGCCCTTCACTATCATGATGGAAGATTTGACTCCTGGGTGGAGTGTTTCGGGTTGAAGATTGACCAATCGAATTGCCCCCAAGCATTTGTCCTGCTTTCTTACTTCGATATTCTTTTGTTAGGGGATATTTGCCAAAGCCATGCAGGTTTCCAAAGTGAGTCTTCCTCTTTGAGCCAGGGGACGACAACCCATACCATGAAACAAGGGGTACTTGGAGCGTTGGGAGAAGGAGTCTAAGACTTTAAGATGGTTTCCACTTCCCCTGGGCCCAAACCACTACGCCAGTGGTTTCATGGAATGGTGTAGTACTTTTTCGCCCCTGGGCAGCAATGGCTTCCATTTGGGGGGCTATCAACCCAGGGGAGAGGATGCGGTAGGAACCCCAAGCCTTTAAGCTTTACCATGGACGGCCCCTGTCTGCGGATTGTAGCACCACTTGCGTACTGAACCGATCAACTTGAGTTTAAGTCCTCCTTTCGTTGGGCAAGCGAGACCAGGGTTGCGACAAATTGGTTTAAACCACTATGCCCTGGCCACACTCCAAATGCTTTTGTTGGATTGTTCAGCAGAACAGACCTGTTATTAGTCAAAATGCAGCAACAAACCGGGAACAGCAGGTTCCTTACCGTGGTTGAAACCACTCTCGTTCTTCCGTTTGCTTGAATCACCCAAGCCGCGGATTGTCCAAAGGATGAATCACCCCACGAAGCCCTGCGAAACCAACACGAAGCGCCGATGCGCACGACTCGGAGTACCCGGTGGGCCTGCACTACGTGCAGCAAGTGGCGGAGTTGGAGGCGAAAAGCGACGAGCTGAAGTTGTTTGGGGCCTCAGCCCGCGAGCCCACAGCCCGATGTTTTTTGTTTTTTGAGCCAAGTGACTCAAGTGGGTTTGTTGTAGGATTTCCGATGAGACAAGTGGGTTTGTTGTAGGATGTTCAATGAGCCAAGTGGGTTTGTTGTAGGATTTCCGATGAGCCAAGTGGGTTTGTTGTAGGATGTTCAATGAGCCAAGTGGGTTTGTTGTAGGATTTCCGATGAGACAAGTGGGTTTGTTGTAGGATGTTCAATGAGCCAAGTGGGTTTGTTGTAGGATTTCCGATGAGCCAAGTGGGTTTGTTGTAGGATGTTCAATGAGCCAAGTGGGTTTGTTGTAGGATGTTCAATGAGCCAAGTGGGTTTGTTGTAGGATTTCCGATGAGCCAAGTGGGTTTGTTGTAGGATGTCCAATGAGCCAAGTGGGTTTGTTGTAGGATTTCCGATGAGCCAAGTGGGTTTGTTGTAGGATGTTCAATGAGCCAAGTGGGTTTGTTGTAGGATTTCCGATGAGGTGGGTTTGTTGTAGGATTTCCAAGTGAGATGAGACAAGTGGGTTTGTTGTAGGATTTCCGATGAGACAAGTGGGTTTGTTGTAGGATTTCCGATGAGACAAGTGGGTTTGTTGTAGGATTTCCGATGAGACAAGTGGGTTTGTTGTAGGATTTCCGATGAGACAAGTGGGTTTGTTGTAGGATTTCCGATGAGACAAGTGGGTTTGTTGTAGAGATTTCCGATGAGACAAGTGGGTTTGTTGTAGGATTTCCGATGAGACAAGTGGGTTTGTTGTAGGATTTCCGATGAGACAAGTGGGTTTGTTGTAGGATGTTCGATGAGACAAGTGGGTTTGTTGTAGGATTTCCGATGAGACAAGTGGGTTTGTTGTAGGATGTTCAATGAGCCAAGTGGGTTTGTTGTAGGAATTTCAATGAGCCAAGTGGGTTTGTTGTAGGATTTTCAATGAGTCAAGTGGGTTTGTTGTAGGATTTTCAATGAGCCAAGTGGATTTGTTGTAGGATGTTCAATGAGCCAAGTGGGTTTGTTGTAGGATGTTCAATGAGCCACGCGGGTTTGTTGTAGGATGTTCAATGAGCCAAGTGGGTTTGTTGTAGGATGTTCAATGAGCCAAGTGGGTTTGTTGTAGGATTTTCAATGAGCCAAGTGGGTTTGTTGTAGGATTTTCAATGAGCCAAGTGGGTTTGTTGTAGGATGTTGAATGAGCCAAGTGGGTTTGTTGTAGGATTTTCAATGAGCCAAGTGGGTTTGTTGTAGGATTTTCAATGAGCCAAGTGGGTTTGTTGTAGGATTTTCAATGAGCCAAGTGGGTTTGTTGTAGGATGTTCAATGAGCCACGTGGGTTTGTTGTAGGATTTTCAATGAGCCAAGTGGGTTTGTTGTAGGATTTTCAATGAGCCAAGTGGGTTTGTTGTAGGATTTTCAATGAGCCAAGTGGGTTTGTTGTAGGATTTTCAATGAGCCACGTGGGTTTGTTGTAGGATGTTCAATGAGCCAAGTGGGTTTGTTGTAGGATGTTCAATGAGCCAAGTGGGTTTGTTGTAGGATGTTCAATGAGCCAAGTGGGTTTGTTGTAGGATTTTCAATGAGCCAAGTGGGTTTGGATGTTCAATGAGCCAAGTGGCTTTGTTGTAGGATTTTCAATGAGCCAAGTGGGTATGTTTTGTAATGAGCCAAGTGTTTGTTGTAGGATTTTCAATGAGCCAAGTGGGTTTGTTGTAGGATTTTCAATGAGCCAAGTGGGTTTGTTGTAGGATTTTCAATGAGCCAAGTGGGTTTGTTGTAGGATGTTCAATGAGCCAAGTGGGTTTGTTGTAGGATTTTCAATGAGCCAAGTGGGTTTGTTGTAGGATGTTCAATGAGCCAAGTGGGTTTGTTGTAGGATTTTCAATGAGCCAAGTGGGTTTGTTGTAGGATGTTCAATGAGCCACGTGGGTTTGTTGTAGGATGTTCAATGAGCCAAGTGGGTTTGTTGTAGGATGTTCAATGAGCCAAGTGGGTGTGTTGTAGGATGTTCAATGAGCTAAGTGGGTTTGTTGTAGGATTTCCGATGAGCAAGTGGGTTTGTTGTAGGATTTTTGAGCCAAGTGGGTTTGTTGTAGGATGTTCAATGAGCCAAGTGGGTTGTTGTAGGATGTTCAATGAGCTAAGTGGGTTTGTTGTAGGATTTCCGATGAGACAAGTGGGTTTGTTGTAGGATTTCCGATGAGGCAAGTGGGTTTGTTGTAGGATTTCCGATGAGACAAGTGGGTTTGTTGTAGGATTTCCGATGAGACAAGTGGGTTTGTTGTAGGATTTCCGATGAGACAAGTGGGTTTGTTGTAGGATTTCCGATGAGACAAGTGGGTTTGTTGTAGGATTTCCGATGAGACAAGTGGGTTTGTTGTAGGATTTCCGATGAGACAAGTGGGTTTGTTGTAGGATTTCGATGAGACAAGTGGGTTTGTTGTAGGATTTCCGATGAGACAAGTGGGTTTGTTGTAGGATTTCCGATGAGACAAGTGGGTTTGTTGTAGGATTTCCGATGAGGCAAGTGGGTTTGTTGTAGGATGTTCGATGAGACAAGTGGGTTTGTTGTAGGTTTTTCAATGAGCCAAGTGGTTTTGTTGTAGGATGTTCAATGAGCCAAGTGGGTTTGTTGTAGGATTTTCAATGAGCCAAGTGGGTTTGTTGTAGGATGTTCAATGACCCACGTGGGTTTGTTGTAGGATGTTCAATGAGCCAAGTGGGTTTGTTGTAGGATGTTCAATGAGCCAAGTGGATTTGTTGTAGGATGTTCAATGAGCCAAGTGGGTTTGTTGTAGGATGTTCAATGTGGGTTTGTTGTAGGATTTTCAATGAGCCAAGTGGGTTTGTTGTAGGATGTTCAATGAGCCAATGAGCCAAGTGGGTTTGTTGTAGGATTTTCGGGAAACCCAAATGGCTTTGTTGTAGGCCCGGCAGGAAACCCACACATTTGATTTCTACGGGTTTCTCTAAGCTGTTAGACCAACCTGGAAGTTGACTTTGAACCAGGCTCCTTTGTTTCAACCACCAATTGTGGCTCGCAGCCCTACGCAACCTCGTTGTCCTTGTGCGTGCTTGCCCATGGAAACCCATGGAAACCCATGGAAACCCGTGGAAACCCATGGAAACCCATGGAAACCCATGGAAACCCATGGAAATTGGGGCGAACAAACATATGCTGCACTGTGGACTTTTTATGGCGCTTCGGCCATGTTAATGGTAAACAAAACGTTTGGGAACGTTTTCTGGCCAATCCACTCGTTCGGAAGTGAGCTAAAGGAGCGCATTTCCTTTGCCCAGAGGCTCCCCGATTGATGTAGGCCCTCAAACAGCCGGGTTTTGAGACCCCAAACACCTCCACGGTGTCCATGCTTTGGGGTCTGGGTCTTGATTTGAAAGCCGAAGCCAAAAGCCTCTGGGTGGAATTTCGACCTCCCAGAGTTTGAACAAATCAACCCCCCCCACCCCACCCCCCACCCCCCGCAGCGCATGTTTTTTTCTCAGCTCGACCTCGGATTTCGAGTTTGAGGCGTTTGGAGGAGCTCCATGAGGCGGAGAGCGCTCTTCGCAGGGAAAGCCAGGCGCGGGAGAAGGGCTGGGGCCATGGGTTGCATATATAACCTATGGCTCCACACTGGGGTGGAGGAACCTACTGATTTTGCCACCTATTTTGATGTTCACCAGGGGTTTCCAGGGTTTTGACCACAGCCAGGTGCTTGGGGCATCTGAAGGGTGGTTGACTGGCTGGCTTCTGGGGGTGAGCATCCTACTTGGGGACGAAATCGTTGACTGGCAGGGGTCTGGAGCATCATCCCACTTTTTGGACACAAAGTCCCTTTTTTCTTCCCCAGAATTAGCTCCCCTTTTTTTGTTTGCTTTTCTGGTCCCTTTGCTTTCCACTAACCAGGCAAAAAAACTTTTTTTTTGCTGGGGTCCTAATTCCAGCCTAGTTTTGGGGGGAGAAGGCCCGGTTTTCTCCGCTGCAAGTGGTTTGCATGCTGCGCTCTGGCCCCGTTGTGTCGTGTGACTCAGCGAACCTTGCGCCCGGGGACGCTCTAAGAGTGGTCACCCTGCAGCGATCGCGGCTTGCCTTTTCAACTTTGTACTTAGCAGGGTTCTGGATTTCTCTTTTTGGTCGGTTCACATTGGTGGCCCAAATGCGGCCATGTCAAGAACACAAAGTTTTATGTTTTCCCACCAGCACCCTCCGACTGCTGTTTTCGTTTGATTTTCGTAACTACCGTCTATTTGGCAGTAGTTCCGCAAATAACGCAAAAGATAGTAGATCCCCGATCTACGCTTGTTTCCCAAGCAGCAAAGTCCAAGCTTATATCCCTACCCTTCTCAAGCCCCGACACGAAGGTGACACGTGGTGACATACATTACAGGTGACACGCGGGTGACGCAGTGACACGCAGGGTGTCACTGCGTGTCACAGACACGCAGTGACACGCAAGTTCGTGCGTGTCACTATGTAGGACTTGCTTGCTACTGCGAATCATGACCATGGACATCACGCAAGTAAAAAGAAAGACTGGAGTTTTTCTCGCAACGGCAAAAAACACACACTATATACCGCTCACTTTGCTTCTTCAATATGCAATGTTTGTTCTGGCAAATTCTGGCGATCTACAACTAGGTCTTCCAGTAGTGCCCTTTTACCAACTTTTCTGCTTGGGAGCTACTAAAATAGACAAAACAGGAAAAGTTGGGTACCAACCTATTCTAACCTCGGCTATCCGGAGGACCTGGACAAGTAAAGCGAGCTTACCCATAAAGCGGCCTTGCTTTTTTCTTTTGCGCACTGTGCGCGCGTTCAGTTCGGCACCGTGCACAAGGCGGAGGCTCTCCGGCTGCTTTGGCCGAATCGTTTTGCGTGCCATTCGGGTTTTCTGGGGTTCAGTTCCCACCATTCAAGCAATGGGGGTTCATATACCCAGACATTGTCATCATCCAATTTGGGTCAACCATTAATTCAATGGGGGTTGGGGGGTTTATCAACGTCCCAGCTTGGAGTTTGGGATCATCCAGCATGTCGGGTCCTATTGGTTTTAGCTGGGCAACTGAAATAGCAACCTCACCGCCAGGATCTCGGGCCAAGCTTCTTTCACAGGGCTTCATGTTTTAGCTCACTGGAAGGCACCACACCCACTTGAAGGCAGACATTTTCGGAGGATTTGGATGTGTGCTATATCAAAAGCTATGGCATTGCAACTTGTGATTTCTAGGTGAAATCCGCCTCCCTGCCTCGCAACTTGTGAACTTAGGTGAAATCCGCCGAAATCCGCCTAGCAATGGCGTCAGGAGAAGAACGACTTGATTGCCCTCCTCTTGCGCAAGGCCTGTCGCAGGTTTACCGCGCGTGCCCGCCGGAACCTGGCAGGAAAAGCCAAAAAGAGATGTCTCTTAGGACACTCCAAATTCAACTTTCGGGAGAATATAACCACTTTCGGGCATCGCTCCATCGGCGCACGAAAGTCTTTGAGATGTTCAAGCAAGTATTGACTTGTGTCAGACTGAAGATTCGGGATGTCCACTTTCAACGGCCATGGCCATAGGTGTCCGTTTTGTTTGGTTTGCCTAAAAAATCGAGGGCCCTGGTTTAGATGGGGCTTTAGTTTCCCATTTACCAGGGAAACCCATCTACTTTTCCAACCCACCTGTGGCCACCTGTAGGGCCCAAGCTTCCGCCCCCGGAGGTGGGTGTCAGGGAAACCCCAGGTCCGAAGGTGTCCAAAATCGCAGTTTGTTGGTGGGATTTCGGGGCGGATTTTGCTGAAACTCAGCACGACTGCCCATTTGCCAGCAGAACCCTTTCTTTTCTCCAAGAAAGCTACGCTCCCCTAGTTGACATAGAAGGCGATTCGTGTCTTTTCCAACAAGGTTGGGACGTTTGGATTTGCCATCAAGAGTTTGGGCAAGTTGTCTGGGACGTTTTTCTTGTTTTGTGTTTTTTTTTTGGGGGGGGGTCTGCGAAATTTCACCCAATGAGGGTGCCTTTCCTAGGGCCCTTTGGCGGATCAGACTTTGCATAGTTGGAGCACCAAACATTTCGGGGTTCCGGGCCCCTCAACCGCTGAACTCTTGGAGCCAACCAGAAATCAGAATCGAAAATCTCAAAGAAACCTGGCAGACGAAGCTGCCTGAGAAGGAGAAGGAAGGCCAACGGCTCAGAGTTTGTTTGTTTCATCTTCATCCCTGTGCAGCAGGGAACCAAATAAGCTCGGGTGATATCCCCAACAGCAACCGGTGCTCGCGGCCCTCATGGAACCCTGCTGAAACCCTGGTGGAACCTTACCTCAGGGCTGCCCCGGAGCCTATCTGGGCTGAGACCCACCAGTTCAAAAGTAAAGGGGAACTGGCTGGTCACCGGCTCCTTTGGGGGTAGCTGCCCTTTGTTTCTCGCCTTCGGCCAAACGAAGTACCTTATGGGTTTCCTAAGGTGACCCAAGTCGTACAAACTAACTGCCCGTCAAGGTAGGCCCACGAATATCTTTGAAACGTTTGACCCACTCGTACATCGCCTAAAATATCCAGTTCTGTTCAGAACATGGCTTCTCTCAACCACCTCAATGTGTTCTCACAAAGCACCCCCTATTCCAAATGCCCAGCCGTTTCAGGCATTTTCTGCAACAGGTTTTTGGAGGGAGACGGCTCCTTGTCTCGTCAAGGGTGACATCATACCCGTTGGATTTTTTAGAGGACACCGGGCAGTGCTTCCTTCCTGCCATGACAAAAACTCCTGGGTCTAAACTGGGAAGTCCTCCCGTGTCGCTGTTCCCCGAGAAGGTACACGTGAGCCACTTGTTCAAAACCCGGGTAAGTGCAGCTTAGTAAGGAACAATCTCAAGCATTAGTAGCTGCGGATATCCGCCTTCTCAATTCTGCACATGGTTTGGGGTAGACCATTCTAACGCCTGGTTTTGATTGTGACTCACGTGCGGCCAATGGGGCATATGACGTTTGCTCGCCCGAATCCGGTGAATGCATCACAAGGATTGGGTGCCTGAGGCTTCCCGCCGCAAGAAGTGCGACTGAGCGGAGCTGCCTAAGTGACAGACAACTTCCCACATGTCCACCAGAGTCATCAGGAACATTCAAACCCGTAGGAGTGAGTAAGGATGGACACAGGGTTTTGCGGGGCAAGAAGGACTGAAGCACCTTTTTTCAGGGGTCTGCAGTTGCCCTTCCATCCCCACACCCACTTGCAACCAACCCGTCTGATAGAAACAAATGCAGAGGAGTATATTATGTGTCCCAATAATTAGGCGCCCCAACAATTGTGCCTCGGCTTTCTTGTTGGCTTCCCTGCAAACCAACCTACAAAAGGGTACATTTCGGGGGCCCTTTACAGACATAAAGGAAACCTGTGGCCCGTGTCTGCTTTCAGCCTCATATGGGCAGGTTTCTGTTGGAGGCCCCCCCTTTTAAGAGGAGGAAAACAAAAGGAGGCAAACCATTCCTTGGCAAAAAACACAAGCCCGTATTGGGTGCGGCTCAAAATTAAAGAGGAGGGGCAAACCGCAGGTTTTGGGATTCCGGTTTCCACTTACCGATCGGGCAACCCATGTTGGGGTTACCCGATTTTTTGAGCCACGGCCATATACCTTGAACCAGAAACTCCCAGCCGGCAGAACTCGCAGCTCGGAGCCTCCGAGGCTGGTGGTCTCGAGGCTCCCGCAACGAGGAGACAGGGGCGACACCTTCCTTTGTTTGTTTGTGTGTTTGTTCGTTCTTTTTTTCTTTCTTTCTTTCTTTCTTTCTTTCTTTCTTTCTTTTTTTCTTTATTTCTTTCTTTCTTTCTTTGCTTGTTTGTTTGTTTGTTTGTTTGTTTTGTTGGTTCGTTTCTTTGTTTGGTTGCATTTTGTTGTTATATCACAATTGTTTTGTTTGATAGGTATTCCTTGTTGTTGTTAGGTTGTTATGTTGTCAATTTTGTTTGTTGTGTGTTCTTTATTTGTTGATTTACTTTCCTGATTGATTCAATTCTTTACGTGGTTGTGTCTTTCTTTTTTGTTACTTTATGTGTTTTTTTATGTGTTTATTTGTGTCATTGTTATTTTCATGGTTTACCTGTTTTTTTTCGTGTTTAACTGTATGTCTTTCTGTATGTCTTTATTTGTTGACTGAGTTATGTTATATTTGATTATGTTTGTTTGTTTCCTTGTATGATATCTATCTTATTTCCTTTGTTTGTTCTTTGTTTATTTCCTTCTTGCCTTATTTCCTTTCAATCTGACTACCGTTCTGTCCTTCCCTTTCTCTTCTCTTCTCTTCTCTTCTCTTCTTTCCGTATTGGGTTCCCATCATACTCCCCGCGTTGAATACATTATTTTCGTGAGTACCCTCCCACCAACTAACATGGAAGTGCAAAAGGGCCCTTTCCAAGAGGACAGTTTTTTTCTACAGCCTGTGCACTGAGGGTACATAAAACATACTGTATCGCCGTGTTCAAGTCTTTGGAAAATCTGGCCCAGCGAGGCGGACTCGCGGTGCCGAGCTTCAGGAGCTCGAGCTTCAGAGGGTCATCGAGGAGACCACGGAGGACAACATCCGGCTGAGGACCGGACTTTTTCACTGCGTGGGCCTGGCCGGTTTCCTTGTCGAGGCACCAACCATAGGTGTCCGTTTTAGCTTGGTTGTGGCTAAAAATCGATGGGCCCCACTGGTTTGGATGTGTTTTTTGTTTGATTCCATGTACCAGGGCCAGCAATTTATTTGTGACAAAAGGCCACCTATGGCCCCGACACTTTGCTGACGCACTTGCCAAGTCTTGGCAAAAGGATCAGCTTTCCGGGGCCCAAGGACTTGTTTGGGGCTGTGGGACCTGTGGGCCTGGCCTGGGTGTGTTTAAGGGGTCTCCCAAAAAAGACGGTGGCGTGGGAGGAACGACATCAAGATCATGTCGGACCAGCTCCGAAAGGTCTTGGCAGGTCGCACGTGGTTCGCATGGCCGTCGTCAAAAAAAAGGGCGTGATGGGTACGGACCCTCAGACGAACCGCCCGAAGCTTTCCCAATCTATCCTCCGCAAGTGGAACCCTATAGTCCATTTCGGGGTCCTGAAAGCTCCATAGAATCGCCCGGAAGGGAAGGTATGTGTGAAAATAGGAAGTTGGATGCTGAACATCGCCGCAGTTTTCCTTTGGCCGCTCTGATATTGAGACAAACCCATCTTGTTCGGTCGGAGACTCTGCTTTTTAGCTTTTTAGTGTTTAGTGGGGATTTCCATTTAACCCACTAAAAGTCAAAAACATTTGAGCAGGGGATCTGAGGACAGCCCAGAAGTGAGTCGGTTTCCGTTTGGGGTTCAGGGAAATGTGAGCCTCAAGGTGTACCCCAGAGTTGGCCCAAGGATCAACAACAAGAGATCTGTTGGAGTTGGCCCACGCAACCAGAGATTTTGGGATTGATAAATATTCCTGCCCCAAATCATCCCAAATCAATGACCATGGGTAATTGTCCCACGCGGCTGACATATCATCTGAAAGATGGTCATCTTAAAGATGGTTTTCCAACCGATGGGCATCTTATGTGTTTCGGACCTTTTGATTGATCCCCATGTGTCATTTTTTGCGGGTGCCCTTGCTGCAAAATGGAAGCTTCGCCACAGGGAATTTTGGGGATACCTGTATTTTGAGACACCCCCAGGGTGCAAACAAATGTTTCATTTCTTCATCCAGGCTTCAAACATCGGCGAACTGTTTTTCGAGCAGATCAATTGCAGCTGGCAGGTGAGGAAGCGCCACCAAAATCGCGCAAAAAGAAAGCTCTCGAGGGGCCGGTGCCTTTGAAATGTCTACGAATACCCGGCGTTTACGCGCACGTTCCCAAAACAGTCATTTGTCCATTCTGAATACCTCCTGATTGAGTCAAGGGTCGACATCACGTCAAACGTGTAGGGATTTAGGGCAAGGCGCGGGATGAAGCTCAGTGGACAGGCCGCAGCCATAGGCATGGTTGTTGTTGGGAAGCATCTTACAATTTTGCTTGTTGTGGTTTAGTGGGAAATCCCCACTTATCTGCTAAACAAATAAATGTTTGCTCCCCTTCCAATGTCAACCAAGTAGGCGCCGTCCTTTCAATTCTTTGAATACCAGGCTTTGATTGTGACTCATTTGCCGACGATCGAAGCGTGGATTCCCGACCTGATGTCCACACCGCTTTAATTTGGCGGGCTACTAATCACAAAGCCCTGGCAAGTTGCGTTCCATCCAGCTTGCTCAAACCAGTTTTGTGTGAGTTGGCTCTTGGTAGGGCAACGCTTGAGAGGAAAATAGGAGGACTTTTTGTTAGCACTTGGTGTGGATGCTTCGATGCCGCAGCTGGTAGGTTTACCCGTGCGTTTCACGTGCAAGCAGATGGTTCGCGAAATGGATGCAACTCGTTGTTCCACATCCAACAAGGTAGCCAGGATCAAGTTTAGGGCTGAAGCAGCTTCCAAGCAAGCCAAAGCAGCCAAAGCACCCGTGCATGGCATAGATCAAATCCTCGTTCCTTCCCCGGATACGCCATGGCCAAGTCTTCCCATTTCGCATGCGCGGGGCCACAGGACGATTCGGACTCTCGGCCTGGGCCAGGAGGTCTCGAGATGTGACCTTTCGGCTTGGCACAAGCGAGAAAGCGGGCGAAGAGAGTCCGGCCTTCCGGACAGTTCCGGGCTTTTCATACTAAAACGCACCGAAAATCAGGTGACTGAACCGGGGGATTGGGATTTTTCATATTAAAACGCCCGAAAATCGGATAATTACATTTAACAGAAGAGACAGGGCATGAGTATGTCCTTCCGGAAAATTCGGGTTTTCTATTGGAGCGCCCGAGGGTCAGGTGATTGAACAGAAGAGACAGGGCATGGGTATGTCTTGTTTGGGGGTACCAGCTCATCACCCACAGGATCCGTGCTTGGCACCCACACGTATGCTGTCTTTCTGCATAATATGTATATATATATATATAATATATACGTACAAGATGTTGTGTCCGAAAGAAGGCAGCAACAATGTGGCAACAGTTGATCACTTAGCATCATATATATATATATACATATATATATATATGGATATATTTATACATGTAATATATATATATATGAATACAGGCACGCGCACACACACACACACACCCACACCCACACCCACACCCACACCCACGCCCACCGCACACGCGCACACGCGCACACGCGCACACGCGCACACACACACGCGCACACGCGCACACGCGCACACGCGCACGCGCAGCGCACATCACGCACACGCGCACACGCGCACACGCGCACACGCGCACGCGCACACGCGCACACGCGCACACGCGCACCGCGCACACGACTCGCGCACACGCGCACGCCGCGCACACGCGCACAGCACGCCGCACACGCGCACACGCGCACACGCGCGCACACGCACACGCACACGCGCACACGCACACGCACACGCGCACACGCGCACACGCGCACACACGCGCCGCACACGCGCGCACGCACACGCCACGCGCACACGCCCACGCCCACGCCCACGCCCACGCGCATGCGCACGCGCACGCGCACGCGCACGCGCACGCGCACGCGCCCGCGCCCGCGCACGCACACGCACACGCACACGCACACGCACACGCACACGCACTCCCACACCCACACACACACACACACACGCACATACTAGACTCTGGACACCAACAAGAACATCGAAACCAGTTAAAGACTAGTCAGCAGAAACCAACGCTGAAGCCGCGGACTTGCACGGTTGCCCAGAGAGATGCCCTTCTGGCACGCTAAGGTGGTTGGAGCTAGCGCAGGCGCCCGGGTGCCAGTATGTGTTTATCCTTTGCTTGATTGTTTGTTTGCTTTTTTAGTTGGGTGGGGAATGTGCTTGTTCCCCACCTTACAGAATTTGGGGTTGTTAGATTCTTTGTGAAATCCGACCGCAACCAGCCCGCTTCTGCCGACAGAGCCTGCAGACAGATGCGACAGGCAGACAGGCAGCTGTGACAGAGCTTGTGCCGGACAGAAGTGACAGTTCCAAGCCTGAGGCCCCCGCCAGTGGCCAGCCGCGACAGCCAGCCGCGACACTCAAACTCCAAGCCCCTTTCTATTTTGAGAGCTCGTCTGGTGGGATATGTCATAGATCCAACTCTAAACTCAAGAAAACTAAAGGTCCTCCAGGAACCGTATGGCTGGGAACCGTCAAGGATTGGGAGTTCATTTCAACCTTGCATTTTGAACGGAATTCTGCGTTGCACTCTGTTTCAGTATGGTGACAACTTTTAACCGCACTCAATAAGGACATTCTTGTTCCGAATCCTGTTGAGAAGTAGGTCTTATCTTCAGAATATAGATAATATTACTGGACAGTATACCTTAAATGTAGAATCTAAGATAGAAGTTATTTCCCAATAGAGCTTAACAATTCAATTAGAGTTAAACAGAATTTGATCATCAAAGAATCCAATGAGAACTTATTTTTAGATTCGCGATTCAAGTAGACTTATTCTGCTCTGGATTCGGGTTTACACGTGGCTTTCCTCCCATTAGAATGTCTGTACAAATCTGGGGAGCGGAAGTTGGTGGAGATGTGAACCAAGTACGGAAAAAGCTACAACACACAATGTGTTTTACGGTGTTGTCTGACCATGGTGGTGCTGGGGCTATTTTCAACTTTAAAGACGCCGCTTTTGAATCTCTGATCTCTGTCCTTATGAACTCCACGACATAATTATCTTTATCAAAACCTACTTTAACGTAAAATTGGAAGCAGGAAAAAGACTCCAATCAGCAGTTCTTTTTACGTTAGCATTTCTTCTTTTTCAAGTTAATATTTGGACGTGATTTCCTTTTCAGCGCAATGTACTGTATTTGCAAATCAAATCAGTTGACACGTCATACTGCATGCAAAACCTCCACAAAACCAAACAAAAGTCGGAACACATGCTTGTTGGTTTTCTTGAGGTGTTTTGCACTTGCTTTGGAAAAGTGCGAAACTTCTCGAGAAAACCAACAAACAAACAGAAAGCTCAGACCCATGTCCCAGATATTGGAACCACTCCGCCATCGGTCTGAGCTCTATGTTTGGTTTCTTGAGATTTTCGCACTTTTTCCAAACCCTGTGACCCAGAAGCAGATGCAGATGCGTCTTCTGTTTTGCACGGACTGGTTGCAACTGAGGACTCCAATTCTAGAGACATTCGAGCCAGTCGGGGAAACCGTGGGTCGACAAGGACGCTGTGACGTAATGCCTCGCGCGACACGTCCAACAGGTGGGTCTGAGCCCCATGAAACTCTGTCATGGGTTTGAGTGTACCTTTGCACCCTCAGGATAACCCTTTGGACAGCTTTCAACAAACACGAAGTGCGCAAAGACTTGAAGGGGCATCTGTTGACGGTACCACCACTCGAGAAAACCTTGCCACGGTGTGATTGTCTTTTCTTCTTGGGCTAGCTTAGCACAAGAGGATGGCTTCTACCCCTTCTCCATTCAAGCTGACCAAGTGCATGCTGGACATTTCTTGGAAAAGCCCAATTTCAATCGACGCGAGACGACACCTCCAAAGTGATTGGGGCATATGATGGCATATGAATCCCCCGAGCGTCTTTTTTGTGGGGCGTCAAAATTGGTTGTGTTTTTTGGGTTCCCTTGAAAACCTAACACGGGGGGTAGCCTCAAGAAAGAGACAGCTTCAAAGCAAGCAAGAGTTTGGGTCACAGCCAATCAATGCTCTTCTGACGTTTCTGCAGCCACCAGGGGTGGGGGAGACTGCTGGGTGTGAACCTTTGTATGACAGAAAGGGTTAATCCCCACGTGAAAGGGTTGGGTTAACTCCCAAAATAATGAAGTGGGAATCAGCCAATTGAATTTTCAACCAGCCAGGTAAGTAGTTTGTTAGTTTGTCCATACCTTTCCCCATGGTTCAACCAACTTGGGTATTTGGTTTCCCCATGGTTCAACCCACTTGGGTATGTTGGACGGGCATTTTCCCGGCAAACTCGGCAGAATTTGCTCTGGCGAGACAAGCGCCAGGTTCCCTGGAACTATGGCTTGGCCTCGTGCCCAGATGCTAAGCGATAGGGACCCGGGGTCCCGGGCGAGCGCCAACACCACGGGCCGGACGCTCACCACGGGTGTTGGCATATGGGGTACCCTTTTTTGAGGGGCCCCGATTTGTTTTTTGTGCGTGTGTGTTTTATTTTGTGGTTTTCAAGGGAAACCAAGAGGTTGAAACCAGAAGCTGTTAGGGTCCACTCAAAAAACACACCGTGTACAAACACAGCCATAAAGCGATCAAATCCAATCGGCCATGTTTAAGGTGCCAAAAAGTCGAAGGACCGCGGAGCAATCCCAAGGACAATGTCCACGTTTCCAGAAATTTGGTGGTTTGGCAATTTTGCTTGGGATGTTCCATCCTTTTCTCATGAACAGGAACTGGTTTGATTATCCCCCCCTTCCTCCCCGCTGCTTGGGGTTTTGGTTTTGGACATGGGGAAAGAACGCCCTTGAGGGACCTTTTGTGTGTTTTCAAAGGTGCAAGGGAAGCCGTGGACTTTTGTTTGTTCTTCCATATCTGACAAAACTTATCCACAGCTGAATCCGGGGATCCCATACTTTCAAAGGTTGGCTTTAATGGGACGTGGACCATTGTGTGGATTCATGTATCTTTGACATGCATTGATGGAAGCCCTCAAAGACTAAAATGGCTGTTGCTTTTCAGCACTCAGGACCTCACAATGGCACTGAAGGCAGGGCGAGCTCGGCGAAGGGATTGGTTTCTGAACG